AGAAACTCCACTTGAACCTCGATTTACTAGTAATTGAGGTTCATTTTCATGAAATTTCCCCAGATTGTACTAGTGCACAATCTTCCTTGATAATTGGGATGTGTGAATGATAATTCACTATTAAATGCTCAGGCGCTCAAGAGGACCTTCCAGAGGATCTCACGGGAGACGCCTAAACCATCATTTGAACTCGCTACTTGAATCACTGTGAGTGTCAAGTGCATGAATTTGTTGTTAAGTGGTTATCTGTTTCTTATCCGTTATGTAAATTTGAAATTTTGAGACGAGGGTGTACTTTATCGCACTCGTTCTCTTTCAAATGAAATTATATTCGAATTTTGCTATGTGAATTCGTATCCAACTTGTACATGGTAATGTGGATGTGATTTGTACTTGTGATTCGTATATGTGATCCGTATTTGTGATTCCTATTTGGAATCGTCGATTTGAGCGTTGCTCATCGACTTATATTCGTATTCGTATTCATATTCGGGGGACGCCCAAAACTCGTTGGCTAACTTTGCGAATCGAGCCAGCATGGGCTTGGTCGATAAGCTTAGCAAACCATGAGATATTCGTAGAACATGATCTATTGGAGAGATCTTGCTCGGCATTACTCGTGCAGTATTGCCATGATATACTCGAGTATTATCAAAAACTTTGATGAGCGGGCCCGATAAGGGGGTGTAACGGTGACGGGATTCGAAGAAAAGTGGTGTATCTACGGATTTGATACTTATGTGGTTGACGGAGTGTCAACGTGAGATGTGATTAAGATTTCGACTCAACTGCGTGGAATTTAGCTCCTGAGAGCTACAGTATCCTTGAATTGTTTTTGTTTATTTTTCCTATTCGAAATGTGAATTATTCGAATTTGATAGCCTTACCTACAATGTAATTGTTGTTGCTACTTGGATTATGTGTTTGCATGTGTGTTTTCTTGGCCTCACTGAGTATTGGCTCATCCTATTAGTTTGTTTTCCTTAACAGGTTGGATTGGAAGATTTTGGTAAAGCCGACTAGATTATACTTTTGATTAGAATCGGGGCTGTAAATGTGTAGTCGACTTTTAATGGTTGCATTTTGGAACTTGATATATCTTTTGTGAACATGATGTAAGATTTAAATATTTAGTTAAGGAAGCGACTTTTCTTTATTTTGACTCGTAGTATTTGGTATGTATCGTTAAGTTCGATTTGAATTGTCTTGAGTCCTGGCGAGAGCTGGGCAAGCGTCCCACGGATACCCTTGGGTTCGCCCTTGGGAGAAGTGGGGGGCGTCACATTATTTCATTTCTTTCTTTTACCTAGCAAATTTTATCTTTTTAATTAATTGGGAAAATAAAATAATAAAACCGGTGCCAAAAATCGTGGGTTTTACACTTCTTCAGCTTGGGTTTGTCCACTTTGTAAAAAATCAAAGAGTCGTCTACAAAGAAGAGGTGAGTTATTGATGGTCCATGTCTGTTGATCTTCATCCCTGTCAGTCTTTGGTTCCTCTCTGCTTGAGCCAGCAAATTTGAAAAGCCTTCTGAAATGAGTAGGAATAGATAAGGTGATAATGGATCACCTTGTCTAATTCCTCTTGAGGGTATCACATAACCTTTAGGTTTCCCATTTATGTTAAAAGAAAAAGAAGCTGTCGTAATGCACTCCATTATCCAGTTGATCCATGTATCACAAAATCCCATTTTTGTCATGATTGCTTCCAGATATCCCCACTCCACTCTGTCATAAGCTTTCGACATATCTAACTTTAAAACCACTGCACTCTGCCTTTTATTTTTGAGGAAATGTAAGTACTCATGAGAGATAATTACGTTATTCAAAATTTGTCTTCCAGGAACAAAAGCTGCTTGGTTTTTACTTATGCATTTTTCCAAAACTTTTTTCAGCCTGTTTGATAAAATTTTGGAAATGATTTTGTAAAGCACATTGCAAAGGCTTATAGGCCTAAATTGTTTAACCTCAGTGGGGTTATCTACGTTGGGGATGAGGCCGGGATACAATGGTGTGGTTCATTGCCTTCAACATGTGACCAGAATGGAAGAAACTATTAATGGCTTGGATGACATCTGATTTGAGGATGTGCCAAAATTTGTGAAAGAAAATTGTTGTCATTCCATCTGGTCCAGGGGCTTTGGTTGAGTTCATGGAAAAGAGTGCTTCTGTGATTTCTTTCTCCCTAACAGGCTGGGTGAGTTTTGTGTTCATGTGGTCTGTGATGTGTCTGTGATATTGCCTCTAGAACCATATCCGAGTGATTCACTCCCTTACTACTGAAAAGGTCTTTAAATTGCTTCACAACTTCTTCTCCAATTTCCTCATCTGAAGTAGTCCAAGAGTTGTCCTCCCTTTGTATCTTTTGCATCCTGTTCCTCTTCCTTCGACCCTTAACACTCGAGTGGAAGAAGTGAGTGTTCCTATCCCCCTCCTTTAGCCATTGAACTCTAGATTTTTGGCTCCAGAAGAGCTCCTCTCCATCATAAGCTTCCTTGAGTTGCAATTTGAGAGCCTTTTTCTTTCCTGTTTGTCCTCACACTCAATGTTTTGGAGTTCGCCCAAAAGTTTTTTAAGGCTTTCAATTTTCTTTCTAGCATTGCCTTGGAAGTTGTTTCTCCACTTCAGAATAGCTATCCTACAGTTTGCTATCTTCCTATGCACTTTATACATATTAGAGCCTGTTTGTTCCTCCTCCCATGCCCGCTAAACTACTTGTTCCAGTCCCTTTTTTTTCAACCATCTTCTATCAAAAAAGAACCTGTTTTTGCTCCTCCCGTTTATAGGATTCGAGTCTAGCAATATCATATTGGTTTTATTCAATGTAGACCTTATTTCTTGTTGACTTTTTCCAAGATATGTTATGCCTCGTATTGGTGTTCATTTTACATACTTTGGTCTGAATATGTTCCCGCAATTGATCATATTTGTAGCAATTAAATTATTTAAATGTTGGACAGCATAATCTCAAGCCTAAGTAAAATTTAACTCTTAAGTCCTTGAGAATTTACAATAGCTTGTCACTTGAGAATTTAAACTTTGCTATTTGTAATCAAATTTTCATATGTTAAGTAAAAATTTAAAAAAAAGGCCATAAAAGTGGAAAAAGTTTTGAACATTTTATCTCTAGTAGCTTTTGGATGCTCCAATTTTTGAGTCATTGCATATAATAGAAATATATGTACCTTCAACCGCATGGGCTTGATTATTTCACCAAGGTTTTAACCTTTCCGATGAGCTCACAATTTGCACTGCAACATCTGTCGCAATTATTCCAGTTTCTTTCTTGATTTAATAAGGGATAATTTCAGAAACCTCTCTAGAAATTTCTGACAATTTCACCTAATTTCCCTTTCATTTGAAAAGTTACATTTACCTCCATTCTCAAGGACAAAAAAAAAGCTATAATAACTTTCTTAAAAGAATGACACTCATCCTAAGCAAAATTTGAAGCCAAAGTTATTATTGCCGTTATTTAAAAGGAAAAAAAAAAGGTAACAATAAAGTCAAATGGCTATAAAACATTTAAAAAATTGCTACTAAGTCTAACACGGTGGGTTTTGCCCTATCATTACCATTACAAGGGAGGTTAGTGAAATTATCCCTTGATTTTAACATTATTGTTGATATTTGATTAAAAAAACGTTCTTGTTTATACTTCTTTTTATTCAGGGCAATCTCTCCTTTTTCTGATATTTAATACACCGATAAAATTCAGCTGTCTTTGGAAGTGCGTACGTGCGTAGAATTCATCTCGTTCCACTGTCAATCTACTACTTTTAACCATCGGGACATATTTTCTTGGTCACAAATTAATCCTACTCTTTTTGTACTAGTACCTTTTCTTTTTTACTAATGCCACGTCAAGCGCACGAGCTATAAAATGGATATGTGCAAATGGGTAATTCTTTGGTTTTAATTTCGGTAAAAAGACATTTTATCCGTTTTTCCCATCATTGAATGATGGAAGAAGCTATATGTGATGATGTGAGAAAATTCCCAATTAAAAAAAAAATATGAGTACACTATGTGATCGCTTTATTTGCCTTTTCCCTCATTCAATAAAAAAACTATGAATAAATTTATACCTTGGCTTTTAAGACAAGTCACCTGTTAATTTTCTCAAAAGCCCACAAATGTTTTTTTTTTAAAAAAAAAAGTAAAAACCACAGACTATATATGCATTGACATAAGCTTATACGGAAATTTAGAAAAAAAAAATAAAATTTAAGCTTATAGGGTGTACAGACTGCAACTTCCGAATTTGCTCGATTTATTTGAACCAAAAAAAAAAAGATGCTATTTATATGTGCAAACATTTTATTTAATTATTTATCTATTTTATGCGTACGAGTATACATTACATGACCATGCAATTGGCTTTGCGTATCCCTGGATCATATTTTGATTTACGACTGAACATGTGATATTTAGACAACCATCACTAATGCTCAATAATTAATCTCAAGTGTCTAACTTCAAAATATTGATGAATAAGTAAAAAACCAGAGGACAACTACTAATTTAAAGATTGAAAATTTCGAAATTCAGCGACTAAGTCGTGACACAAAAATTAGCGTGCAAAGTATCAAAAAAGGAAAAAATAGTATACCATAGTGCAAATTGGTAGTAAGTTGAAGTGATTCAAAGTATCCCCTAATCCATATTTTATACATCATCTTCGGGGACTAATCTGCCAACCAAATAAGGATAGTCAAAATTATTAAAGGAAAACTTTAAGTGCTTATTTTTAAGTGTTTGAAATAGTGGCTGCTTTCAAACCCGACCGGAGACCAAGTCAATCTCTTTAGTTGTTTTGACTTACTTCTTTACCAAAACTTGATCCGACCAAAAAGCTTAGAAGGCTCCTTTGAAGTAATTTTTCTTTTCTGCACTAGTCTACATGTAAAGACAGATCTCCTTGGCAAATGTCCTAACCTATCATATTTTTAAGCTTTTAAGTGCGAAAAATGTTCTAAGTATATTAGTTGCGCACGAAGTATGAGGAAGTATTACTTGAACTACTATTCCGTCATATGCTTAGAGGCCCTGGATATGGTATAATGATAATCCGACCAAAACATCTCTACTCCTGTCCCTCTCACGTGTGATTCGATTTTAACTGAGCGTTGTTCTTAAGCTTTCTGTGTTAAATCATATTTGGATATGCGGTTTGTACTTTAATTATGCTGAAAGGTTGTCATTAGCTTGGTTTTATGGAGTAATTTTTTTAATGGGTTATTATCACTTTACCCCATTCAACTATATCACTACTATCAGTTTACCCATTAACGTTATCTTTTAGTCATTTCACTTCCATAAGTAATTCAACTCAACATGTTGAGAAAATTTGGACAAAAATATCCTTTTATTCTATAGTATTACTACGTTTTTATTGTTACTTTATTCCTTTAAATTATAGTGATATAATCAGTTTAATTCCTAACATTATTTTCTAAGAAATTTATTTCATCGTTAATCTAACTAGTGTGGTAAAATTTTTTAAAAATATATTTACCTTTATATATACAATTAAAAATAAAAAAGTTGGAATGATTATTCTTCTTTTTTTTCACTTTAAGAGATCCAAAAATATAAAAATAAAAGGATTTTTTCAAATTTCTTTTTTCATACTTATTAATACTAGGAAAAAAAGAGATAGGAAAGAAGGAAACATAAAATTAGATTTTGCAAAGAAAAAATAAAGAAAAGTCTAATGTTATCGTATTAATTTAAGGTTGTTGGAATTAGAATTGAAATTTGGTGGTAAATAGTAAAATAAAATAATTTTAAAATAATAAAAGTATTTAATTCTTTCATATTTGTATTTAAAAAAAAAAAAAGAATTGAGCTCTCTCTCTCTCTCTCTCTATCTATCTCTCTCCCCCCTCTCCCTCCCTCTTACGATCTTTCTATTTTTTTTAATATTAATAAGATTGCCAAGAAAAAAGAGATTAATACATTGACCTTTTTTTTATACTAAAGAGGAAAAGAGTCATTCTAAATTTTTTATTATTTTTATTATACAAAGAGGAGGGTACTTTCTTTTAAAATTTTTTAACTTACTAAGTTGGTTTAATGGTGGGATAAATTGTATAAAAAATAACTATATGGGATAAATTAATAATGAGGCTATAGTTCTAAAAGATAACGTTAAGGAGGAAATTGATAGTGGCACCGAACGTTAAGGGGGTAAAGTGATAATAACCCTTTTTTAATTGTTTAAGAGTTGAAGTGAATGTTATGCCGCTTTCTTAGGGGCATTTGCATTTACGGTCACTAATTACGTTTTGCTTTACTGGTGAAAGATGAGGGCTTTTTTGGATGGTCACATCAGGAAATTAATCTTAAGGTTACCTTTTGGGCTGAATGTTATTACTCAAGATTGGGATTTATTTTTGTCCTACAGATTAGGACATTGTGTGGTGTTGAACATGATGATTTGAAGAGGCTGTTTTTTGTGTCAAAATCGATAAGAGAAGCGGTAAGCTTTTATACATCTCTATGGATTAAATTAATTTAAAATTTGAGTGCTTTCTTCAACATGTCTTGAGCATTGGTTGATTTGGATTTGGATTTCTTAAACAAAAATGCAGACTTTGATTGCAAAGCGATGGCATTTTGCAGATAGCACCCCCAAGAAGACACTCGGATTTCCAAATGCTATTGATTTTGAAAATCTGGATGAGTTGAATGAGATTGAACAAGCTCCAAGGCAAGTGAGAATTCCGAGGGCTCGATTGAGCAGCAAGAAGTTGGCTGACATTTCCGTGACCTTATATACTTCTGCTGGCGAAGAGAATTGGCTGCGAAGAGAGCTATTTGTGGCAATGGATGCAGAAATATGAGTTGAATGATTTATGAAGATCCAGAACGGTCTTCTTCTTGTTGTACAATTTGGTAACTTCTTGGTTAAGCGAAATAGATGGAAGACAGAAAGAAAATCTGACGTGCGTATCATTTTTTTTGATAGTTTGTACATGACAAAACAAATCCATGCAGGCCCATTTTCGTCAATTCTTTCATTGAAGATAGGATTGGCTTGTTTATACTTTGTTTGTACATGTAGAAGAAATGGTTTAGGGATTTCATTTAAGGAGCTGTAGTGGCCCTTTTTTTGTTCTCATAAGCGTGTATATACGAGCCTCCAAGCTCTTTGGTGGTACTTATTCGAATGGGTTGGATGAATAGATCTCTGCCAAGCTGATTTTGCAATTTGATTGTTGTTCTGTTTTCCCTACACAATGCTGTTCTTCTTCCTCAAAAGTGATTGCTACGGTGCAGTAGAACTATGTAAGAGATTATTCTTGGCCAATTTGAGACGTCAGCTGAGATTCTTGTTTCATTTAGGATATGTACTAGATTTTTTTCGCCCTTTTATGTTCTGCATTAATGCATCTGTGTCTGAACTCTGTTGATTCTATTTGGTCAATACCTTTTCAGCAATCAGATGATGGGGCTACCTGTTGATTTCTTGTTGAAATTATCAGTATTAAATCCTTTTGTTTTCGGGGGCGGTTATCACCAAGACTGTCAGGCAGCGATTAGTACACTATGAAAAGGAAAATGGAGGAGCTACCATTATGTTTATTTCCATTCCCTACTTGTTTTGGCGAGCGGCGTCTTCAGAGAACATGGAGTTTGCGCTTTCTGCATTAATAATAAAATAAGATGTTAATTTCCTATTCTCGTACCTAGGATTTCATTGAGGATCTGGCTGTATCGGAGGTAATGTTTTGAGGGAAGCTAGCTGGAATCCTTGAAACCTTAATTACAGGATGAAAATTTGCGCCGAAATGATCTGTTTAGTGGATGTTGTTGCAGCTATGAAGGAAATCAAGTAATTGGTGAATGGATAAGTAGTTCAAAGTTTGGGAGAAAGGAAGTTGACTTATTCAGTCGGATAGATAATTCAAATATGGTTTTAAAATTCAACAATATACTTATTCTCCATAAAAGATATCTGTTAGTACATGGGTGTCAGGGATTGTTAACAAAGATAGAAGAATGATATTTGGCTCTATTTTTCTTCTCTTTTGCTTGTGGATAAAAACGAAAATAAGAAGGTTAAATTTTTTTCTTGCCATTTTTAATCTCCTAATATGGGGAGTTCCAATCATCAATGGTTGTATGGTCTGTTATTGCAGAGTAAAGTGTTAAGACCAACACAGCGTCTAGTTGGATTTGCAATTCTCCACCAGGCATATTCTTCCCAGCAGCCTAGTTCTAACCCGTTCAGTTTTGTGCTTGTGACTGTAAGTATGCATATGTCTTCTCCTCATTGTATTTGTTGTTCTCAGGATTTTGTTTGTGCTCTATTAATGGTCAATTTTAAATAATCATGCACTGTGTAAGATTGTTCTTTTTTTTTTTTTGGGTCAAACATCATAAATTCACTTCATTTCATGAACTTGATATTACAAGATTGGATACATCAGAATTTCTCCCTTTGTAATCCTTTTGTGCACTCTCATGGATCCACATGGGAAAACACTCTTCCCATTCAACATTTTTAGTTAGCTTTACCGCAAATTTTGCTAAGCTATGTGCACAGCTGTTTCCAGCTCTATGAACAAAAGAAAAAGTACATTGTTCAAACAAACATCTCATATTTGCAATGTCTTCAAGGACAGTAGCTATCCTGGTATGATGGTCCTTTTCCTTGTTGATCATGTCCACTACCTCCTTGCAGTCAGACTGGAATTCTACTTCCTTCCAGTTTGCATCGCAAGCCATTTGCATTCCCATCCGAATTGCTGCTGCTTCCTCCACTTGTGGCTCGCTAACTTTTAGTTCAGCTCTTGCCCATGCTTTCATCATTTTTCCTTCTGCATTCCTAGCCACAGCACTTATGCCTGTTCTCTTCATGTTTTGTGAAAATGCAGCATCAGAATTTATCTTTATCTGTCCTCTTGAGGGTGGCTTCCATTCCTCGCTTCTATTTGAGCTTGTTGTTTGTTGAATGAACTTTCCATCTAAACTTTTTTGGGCTTCTATGTACTCATTCCATTCTACCATAGCTTTTTGTACTGACTTTCTTGGATCTGCATCTTTTTCATCAAAAGCTTTCCTGTTCCTCGTCTTCCATATTTGCCAGAGGATATTTACAGTTAGCGCTATATGCTAAGATTGTTCAGCTATGCAGTATGCACATCAAGTGCATTTTTGACTTGTTTATTGAGTGACAGTGGAAAGCTGAGAGTATTTTCAGTTAACTTTTATACGGAGTGCTAAGAATTATTGGACTGTCTGCTGTATGAAATACTGAGTCCAGTGAATTTAGATAACCACATGAACCTGATGTGGAGGCCTATTCATTACTGTGGGAAAGACTTCTTTTCAGAGCCTATTTTTGCTTCTAGAATAAGAAATCGTTGACAAATTAATAGTAACAAATCCTTTCTTATACTATAACGTATATCACTGTGGGCTGACACCAGGAAAGCTGCCAGTATGTTATTTTATAGGCATATCGATGTGTTCTATGTGTTAATTTCCTGAATGTGAGTGTTCTTTTGTTTGGTTATCAGGAAATTGTGGAGAATAATCCTGTCATAGCAGTTGAAGTTCTCATTAAGCCTGCAAATTCACCTGAAATTGAAGAGTATGTTCATCTTTTTACGTTACAGTATAAGAAACTTAATCTTATTAGTGTTCCGACAACAAATTTTTTTTATGAAATGCAGATATTTTACTGTTATTGTCAGTATGGATATGAGCCTTCATTCAATGGAAGTGGTTAACAGGCTTACTACAGCTGTCGAACTACCAACTGAATTTATTCACTTGTATATAACGAACTGCATATCTTCGTGTGAGAACACCAAGGTTCTTAGTCCTCTCTACTCTTTGATGTACTTCCCCATTTTTTCAACCCCGTTTTGAAACCCGTAAATTTTGACCTATTCATCATGATTCTGGCTTGGTATTCATAGGTGTTGCCAGTTGCCTGGTTTAATGTTGATTCATAGAAAATAAGCAAGTAGGTGCAAAGAAATAGCTATCAGATGGAGTGCTCTTTTTGCATGAAAATTAAAGCATCTTGGTAGGTACTATGATGGTCCAAAATAGATTTTCAGTAAAGCCTCATCTGCAATACCTGCAATTGTGGACAATTCGAGACCTAGGATGTTCAGTCATCAATCTGTTGTGCAGAATGAAAGTTCAGCGTATATTTTGTTTATGTGAGGAAAGTCGCAGGCATATAAGCATTTTCAGTAAACCGCAATAATGAACACTCAAAGAAAGAGGGGACTAAGCTGTGCATGTCATGGATGGTTCATGTACAAGTTGATTCACGAATGCTAATGAAAATCATGAATGGTTGGTTCGCACAAGCTGTTTAGGAGAATCGATGAAATTATCTGCCAAATTAAGAGGCAGATTACAGAACATAGATTCACCTTCAGTTAAAAATTTTAATGACACCATTGCTGAGTCAAAAAGTTTTTGAATAAAACTTAACTCTACGGAAGATAATTTATTTCATCTGTTGATTTTGATTTATAGGGGGTTTTGTTATACGTCAAAATTCTTTCCTTTCTGAACATTTCCTCGCTTGAGTAACTTACACTTCCTTGCACATGCAAAATTTACATTAGATATCTTATTAGATTATTTTCCGTGCTAGTCAACAAATGTATAAGGTGATTTAAAGGCAAAAATTTCATTGGTGTTAGAATACCAGGTATGCAGTGATCCTGCAAGCTAAATTTTCAGTCACCTGAAATAACATTAGACTTGGAATTAGTATTCCAGGTGACTCTGGACCGTAACAGGTTGTTGTGATTCGAATATTTTCAAAGGCACACAAAGTTTCCTTTTCCATTTTCAGTTTAAGACTCGATTAATATGAAAGTTCAATTCAAATTTTATGCACCCAAACAGATCTGTTTTAAATATAAAGTGTTAACTACCTGGTGCATATGGCAGCTTTCATCCTTCAAACCTTGATTTATTCTCATTGATCTAATTTTACTAAATGCTGTCGAACCCATTTGGAATGCAGTCCAGGATCTATTTATTGAAGTCCAAGCCTTTTGTATAGAGTTTTCAAGGATGAGAGAAGCAGCTACGTTGTTTAGGCTCCTTAAAAGCTTAGAATAAGATAGTCTGGTTTAATTTTACTTAGTTCTCTTTGTGTAAGATGATCCTGCCCTGTTGCTATGACGTTCTATTTTGAGGATAGCATCATGGCTTGTAATGTGAGGGGTAACAGACAAAGCACTGCTGTGTATACTGAGGATTTTACATCCATCTGGCGCTATCCCAGATAATGGGCATATCTTTTTGTTTCAAAATGCAAAAATCGCAGCAAGAAAGAAATCAACATGCAATTTGAAATTGATTGGAAGATTTCATTTTTGAAACACCTTCTTTACTTCATTAAGCGACAGACGAGGAGATAAAAAGTGTCATTACAATGCTCTATTTGACTTGGTGGCGGATTTAAGGAAAGGGCATTCGGGATCCTTAAATTCCTATAGTACCCATAAAATTTTGATATAATTTCAAGTGTGTCCATGAAGTTTTCTTATGAAGGATGTGAAAGAATTACGTGGTTCTTTAAATTAGTTCATGAACTAAAATTCTGAAAGGATATGTGGAGCATAAAGTTTCATTTGAAGTAAACTAGAAAAAGCCTTTTCACCTCAACTTAGTGGTGAATATTTTTTTTCTTGAAATATTAGAAAAAAAGTAGGTAAAAAATTTTAGTGTTATTCAACCGGTAATGAAATGTGTTTTCCGGTTTTGTCCCTAAAAATATGATCACGTGAGAGAGGCATGCTATTTTTAGCAGGAAAAATGAGCAAAAATGAGCATTATGACCAAATTGGATCACAATTTAAATGTGAGGGATAATTTTGGCTGATTTTATATGTTAGGGACTAAAAAAGTGTTTTTGGTAAATGTTAGGGACCAATTTGGCAAATTTTTCTTTTATCAATTTGAATTTGTAAGGGATGTAAAATTACACTTTTAAAAGTGAGGGATGAAAAAAGTCATCTTGTAAAATGTGAGGAACATTTTAAACGATTTCCCAAAAATTTACATGCACAACCAACATTTATGCCAAATACATTGTCACTAAATGAGAGTTGATGAGGCTTTGATTGACCCCACGCTAATGGATTACACGAACTTTATATAAAAAGAAACTAATTTGAGATAGTATATGATTAGAAGCAAAAGTTCACAACCATCAGCAACAAAAATCACATAGTTTTATTGACTAGCAAATAAAAATGCTAACGACAATAGATAAGCAAAAAACTTTATTTGGATAGTCACATTGAACAAGCGCCTAGTTATGCAATCTAGGCATTGATAGCAACTCGTTACTATTATTATATGAACTCAATTATGTTTCATGGACCGGAATACCGATTATTTAGGATTTTTGATCCACAAGTGGCCCTAATGGTGGTGGTGGCGGCGGTGGATTCTTTGGCTGACCTGATGGAGGGACAGCACACCTCTTGAAAGCTACCCTGGGGTAAAGCATGTGGCCCATGTGGCTTTATCAGTGGAGGTGGTGGAGGATCCTTTGTAGAACCTGATGGAGGGATCAGCTCCCTTTTAAAAGCTTGGGGAACCAATGTTTTGAAAATCGGATTGGATCGGTCAATTCGACTGATCAGACCGCAAATCGGTCAAGTCTTCGGTCCATTTCATTACTAGTATTGACTTTTTGTAAAAATTGATCAAAATCGCAAAAAATCAATCATATCGTTCAACTCGAATTGAACTGTGAACCATGATTATTTTTATTTTTTCCATCTTTTTTTTAAAATTGAACCTAATGTTTTAACATAATAAAACTTATTCGTAGAATCTTTTGTTCCCAACCCTAATTTCTAAAAAAGTAATCAAACTCTCTATATTTCTCAGCCTCAAACTCAAAGATTATCGATTTCTTTTGTAATTCTATTAGATTTTGTTTAATTTCAAAAATCTCAATGCATTTTGTTTAATTTTAAAATATGGTTGTGGTTTGTGTGGGATTTAAGATTTTTACCAAGTAGGTACAATTGAGATAAATTTATTTGTTTGAATTTACAATTTAAAAACTTTATTTGTGTTTAAAAATACTTAATTTTTTATTAAGTGATGTCTTAAATTAGTCTATGGGATAATAATCTAGAACAATTGAAACAATTATTCTATGCGCAAGTGTGTGTATATATATATATATATGTATGTGTGTGTATATATAAAATATCATCGAATCGGGGTTAAATCGGTTTGACCAATTGAATCTTGACGCAATCACTTGACCAGTTTAATTAACGGTCCAAGTTTCAAAACATTGTGGGGAACACCTTTTTCTGAAGTGAAACATATTGCTGAAAACTCAACTTGTCTGCTTGCACCATGGAGTTGAAGTGGGTAAAAATTAAAAAAGAGAGCAATAGTATGCGCCATAAATGATAAACGTTTTTTGATGAAGAAATTAAAGTAGTCATTGAGAACTTTTTTGGGATGATCAATAATAGAGGTTAGCATATATATATATATATATATACATATATATATTTACATGAAGACAAGGAACCACTTAGATGCTTTTTGTGCTGTCATGGTAAGTCAATTATTAACCGTTTTGTAGATGCTCTTTAATGCTGAAAATCTTTTCACTATTATTTTCTAGAAAATGATAGGTGAAATGTTTTTTGTAGTAGTTTGATGCCCCATTCATTGAACTGAGAATGAAAAGTTAAACGAGTATGTTTAATAATACACCAAAAGGGACCAAGTCCCTCTTTAGCCTTCAGACGTTTTAACCTTATTTGCAGTGAAAAAAATTTAAAGGAAGTGTTAGAGCACCACTTTGGTTTAGTTAGGTTTGTATATCTGCTAGTTCCTTACACAATGGGTTAGGATATACAAATGTTATCGTTGCGGAAAAAAAAAAGAGAGTATGTTGTGTAATACAAGCCTAAGTTTTTATAACTGAACATTGAATAAAATGTAATTTTGAAATAAAGAAAGAATTTTTAGAAGCAAGAAAATAAAGAAAGATTAGATGAGAGTCAGAAAAGTAGTCTTCGTATTGGACAAGCTTTGGAAGGAGGATTCGGGGGATCATAGCTAAATAAGTCGACTAATATATAAAGAAAGATTCTAGAAGGAAAAGATGTTTTCAATGTAGTTTTACACCAAGGTTTTAAAGGAACAGATAAAAGTATTTGTCCTAAAATTGACCAGAAAATCAATTAACAATTGTTTACAAGCGGTAATATTTACTTTGATGATTTGGCTAACGAGCTTAAGTTGTTTTTGTAGGTTTACTACATTTGTTGCCACTTTCTCGGCTTCTTTTTTTTTTTTTTGATGACACATCGGGTATCCGGACCTCTGGCCTGATTAATGCCCCTGCAGCCTGGGAAAGGGCGCCTCAACCCACTCTGAGCACGCTAACCACGAAACCAGATGGAGCACAAAGTGAAGTGAATTTTACATGAGTAATCTAAGTTATTCCAGAAAATTCTTTTACACAATTGTTAAATTGCTTATAGTTTACGTTAAGTGATTGGGGTTTTCTGTCCTAATTTCTATATGAAAATATTAAATTGTTTATCGTGTACCTTAAATAAATTGATTAATATGCTATCCAAAAAAAAAAACCAAAAAGATGATCAAATCTCTCTCTCTCTCTCTCTCTCATTTTTTTTAAACGTTTCATCTTTACACAGGAACAAGCTTTTTCATTGTCCAACTTAGCAATGTTTTCACAAGTCTAATGAATGTAAACTGTCTAAACTTTTTGTTTGCTGTTCATCTTATCTTTTCCCTGCTAAGTGCTACAAGTAATAGTTTAGGATGGTGCAAACCAAAAATTGATGACACTTCGAGGGTGAAAATTGCAAATCCCTTCTAATTTTTTGTCCACCCTAATAGATGAGCTTGGAAATTTTCGCTTTACTCAGATTGATTCAATGCAAGAAACTAATTTTGTTATGCTGAGTTCAATAACTTTAAACGATATATTTGACGTCTTAATAGTGTAACTTTAAATTCTAACTAAATACTTTCAAGTCTGCATGTCTGTGAGCCCTTCCTGAGTTTTATCTTTATAGTAAGCTAACTATTTGGAAGTTGGCACTGGAAGAAAACAATGAAACACAGAAATAATTGAGCTTGACTATGTAAGTATCTTGTTGGAATATATTTAGACCATAAGTATTGATCCAAATCCTGTGCTGCAGGCTCCAGATAAGCAAGAGCTAATATGTTCAGCAAAATTGAGAAGCGAAAAGAAAAGACTATTGAAGATAAAAAGCTGACATTGAAGACCATAGCCATTTGTTTTTTGATTGCTCTATTACTAATAGTATTTGGATTTATTTCGAATCCAAATGTGCTGTATGATGGTACCAATAGGAGCAATTTGATTGATTGGATTGGAATTAATTTGAAAGGCAAATCTCTTGCTAAAACAAGGAAGAGTTTTTGTTGGCAGCTGCTATTTAGTGCATTTGGAAAGAAAGGAATGCAACACAATTTAGGAATGAATGTAGGGATACAAAAGTTATTCAACAAGAGATCCTTGAGGTAATTAGATGTAGATTGTCCTCTTTCAAGAAAGTCAAGAAGACGGATACTAATAGATGATTTGTTTTCACTTGCAAGAGTAGTTAGGGATTTCATAATTTTAGACACATTTTTGTTGTTATTTTACTTCTTTTATTACATGTTAGTAGAGTAAATTTAAGTGCTTTATTTGTGATCATCTAAACAATGGAGGAGTTCGAAAACTATCAGTAATTGACAATCTTTTCTACGGGATTGACATCTAATATCTTGTACTCAATAAATCATCTGACATTCAAGTTGGGGGTTAGAGTAAACTTGTCAACCGATTATTATTGGTTTATTTGAGTTTGAATTATCAAAAAGTTGGAGACATGTGGCAGTTGTATAAAGAAGGGATAGAGACTAATTTGGAGACAGAAAATTCGAAACCAAAAGTAGGGTATTTTAGTTTATATATTGAAATAACACTTGAGTGAGATATACCCTAAAATACATTATATTTTCATCCTAAAATAAAAAAGTTCTCAAAAAAAATCATTGAGATTTTGTAAGATCTTAGCATGCTAACTTCGTTACTGTGTCAGAAAGACTTAGTTACTTAGCAATTAGTTGGAGTTAATTGAATGCTGACTCCGCAAGACAAGTTAGCTACTTTGCTGTAAATTAGTTACAATTAGTTACTGTTAATTGTCGGCAGCCAGGTAGAGTAGTAAGTTACAATTGGTTTGAAACGGGGGTTGGACGAATAAATGATGCATCAATA